AGTCTTGCAACGCAGGCTAAATCTAATCCAATTTCCACAAAGTATTTTACACAGTGTGGGAAATTTCTTTGCTGACATCGATTGGAGAGTTATGAAATCACTCATCCACTGATTGAGAAATTTCTATTTCTTAGAGTATTTGCTCTACACTTGCTCCTGCGGAATCCCCTTAGATGGATTTTAATCTGTTTTTTTTATAGAGTGAGTATTGAACAGAACGGATATCAATGATTTCCATTGCCGTGGAAAACAAATGTCGTCTTTCAACATCAGTTTTCCAATCCATTTCCAGCAGATTCGATATATATGTATATATATATATATATATCACCGGCTTGCGAGCAAGTATGGTGATAATACCACCACAATAAGGACTATGACAGGGGACAGGTGGATTGGGATATAGAACGGAGTGTTAAAAACGTTCAACCAGAACAATGGAAAACAGTAGACAGTAGATAGCTATTTCACTAGCATATGCAGTCAGGAATTTTACGGTGATTTGAATGATACTTCAGACCTTGAGAAAACCACAAAGGTTTCGCGAATCAAATTTCTTCGGCCATCGCGGGCTTTTTCCGCTACAAATTTTATCCATATCATCCGAAATGCTCGTTCATCCAAACACCAGGATCCATAATGTCTATTTTGATCAGAAATGTTCCCTATCAGAATGTCATATTGTAAGAGAAATTGGGCCAAACTATGCCTGTGGTCATTACTTAGTTGAGTCCACTACTCATGATACCAGAGAACACTGAACCGCAGTTGGCCATTCTTTCGCTCGGTCTACTTTGGTACTCATCCTCCTTGCACTGAATGGACTTTGAGCTGGGGACATACGGTTTTATAACGTCAATACCCCAACCGTAGAGCATTGACGAGGGTGGCTGTCTGTGGTTGCGACAGCAATTAGACTTGAAGGAACACGCACACGCACACACGCACAAGAATAACAACAACAACAACAACAACAACAACAACAGAGGTATAGGTTTTTCACACAATAGATCCCGGTCACCGAGTGAAACAAATTTGTGGCAGGATATCATGGCGTGATTGGGGTACGTCAGGAAAGAAATCGGGAATGCCTATCATCGCGTGGGGCTATTGAATGTGATGTCGTTAGCCGTAGGGCATGAGAGAACACACACGCACCCGTATACGGCAGGGACACGAACGCACTTGTATACTCCACGGTGTTCTTGTTGCTGTTTGTCACCTGTAACGTTTTTTTTCTTTCTTTCTTGTAATTCCCGAACCATCCCGTCTCGTGTTGTCAATCTGTCGGATGCATACGACAACAGTGCTCATCCAGTCAGTCACACAACCCTGTTGACACATGTTCAATCCTGAATGCAGGAGGGAGGGGGTGTATTCGGATGATTGACTTGTGGTCGATGAAAAGACTTCGTAACAGTGAAACAGTGGTTTGATTTATAAAGTTTTATAATACACAAACGTAGCAGGTAAATGAATGACAGCATTAGGAGTTTTTAGGAGTTTTTCACAATATTTGTGGGCAACTATATTAGGAATCTTAATTAAGACGGTGAATTATTTTTATTACACACATTTGTATGATGAACAGTAGACGGAGCGAACCCCATGGTCACGAGGATTTGCTATTCAGTGATGGAAACCGGTAACCTAAGACTCAAGACTTGGAGTGGCGAAACACATAAGGTCCTGCTAGATTAGACGTGATACTAAACCGGATGACAGAAAAACCGTCTACCACTAAATTTGGATGATGGTGGTGACCACAGGGTTCAAAGCACGCCAATGACAGCTCCAAAACCATTGCACCCACATCAACTAATGGTTGTATTACCGCATTCTGTTTTTCACTGGTGCTGTTAATTATTTAGGGTATGGGTATTAGTCTTCGAGAGATCGTTTAATCCCCACGAGTTAAATGCATTTCAATGCGATGAAAATCCTTGTACTGACCGGAAAAGAGTACTAGACAGCTGTTTTGTCGAGGAGTGGACGGGCAGTCTGGAGAGCCTAAACAAACTGGATAGTTTTCCTTGTCCGATTTTAGGCTTTTCAGAGCTGCATGACACATGAACACACGTGGTCGCTTATCGACCTGTTCAGGATGCAGAAAAATTTGATAGCATACTATGGCTCCTAGCTGTTTGGGATCACAAGGGACGCCCCGATCCGTTATTTTATGACTGCCATTTTTAAACGATTTACTTATAAAGTGGCACACTGTCTTATCTCGAGTGTGCAGTCGACATTGTGCCACCTAGCGAACGTGCAGCT